ACTGATTCAGTGAATGCCAGTGTCAGTGTATGTACTGATTCAGTGAACACCAGTGTCAGTGGCATACTGTCAGTAATTCACTGTTTTCACCGAAACTGCACATCCCTAGGTATTCACTCACATCCACACTCTTAAGATTTACGATAGAGCAGTACCTTCATACACTCCAGCAGTCTTGTCTAGGGTAACTTTAGATGATTCATTCGGAAGCAAGTATATATCTTAGAACAGCCCTTCGCGATTTCAACTTGCCTCCAAGAGGAGCCCTAGAGGATCTGAGAGTACCGCTGTACAGTAGCCACTGAGGTACTAAGAGTACTCCTGTACTAGAAGTTCAGGTACTACAAGTGTACCCTCAAACCTGGACTAAATGTGAGAAGGGTATCCTTCTATATTATATACAGGACTTAATATACTATGGGTGCCGTCCCCATGTGTTAAAACACGTTTTTATTAATATTTGCTACGAGGTGGACGATTCCGCTAGTTTTTGGTGGTTTCTGACAAAAACTGGTGCTCATCATGCATTTACCGTTTTGCTTCGCTGAAATCGATATATATATATATAAGGGAGTAAATTCCAGCATAACGTTTTAGTTTGATTATATTTTCGGGGCAACATAACTAGGATCAACAAAGTTCCTAATTTGCCAACACCTAACTTTCAAGCTATTTTTGAGACCCCACTTAGTAAGTTAAAACACTAGAATCTTCCTCCACCTCAATTCACAAATACCATGTTGTTAAGGTATTTTGGAGACCCTGATCGATAAGTTAAAAGATTAGCAAGTTTTTTAAGCCTGACTTGCAAATACCCTCAGAAAGAGGTATTTTTAGCCCTAGAATGAGTAAAGCAGAAAAATTAGGATCTTTTTGAGTCTTTTTCATTGCCGTGCTGGTCCTGGTAGGATGTGCCATTGATTGTTTTGTGGCGACTTTCGATATGCGGATTCTATAGTATCCGATGTTTTTCGGAGGTCGAATGTCTCCGATTTCCGATGGTGATCGGGAACTCGGACCTACCGGAACTTGTCGGAATCCCGCCGCAAGAATTTCGGCACAAACATTATCCTATTCGACCGAGTTTTATCACAGATGGTAGTGTAATCCAATGTAAAATTCAACCTGATCCGATCGGATCTACACTCTGGATTGAATCATCTGGGCTTGTGAAGTTTCACTGTGTCTTAGAAGCTAGTTTTGTTGACATACTTGAGATAGAGAGCACGCTCGAGAATAAGACTGTTGATTTTTATACTTTTTTTCAATTAGCAAGATGCCTCATTTGGACTTCTGTTGTTGTTAATGGCATAGTATTTATTGTAGTTTATTGGTTATTTGTATACTTATCTTTTTCTGTGTTTCTGTCTAAAATTAATTTGACCATTCAATCACTGACGAATAGGCGTGAGTAACATAGTAAACGTTCTAGTCCTGTTCGAATTGAGACTAAAAATTAATTACTCTTGCACATATTTTCCTTTTGTTAGATCTATTCAGGTTGTATAGTGCCAAAAGAATTACAAATATTCTGAACACACTGCAGGAAGTTAGGTTATTGTTATGTGAGCCAACTTCCATTCTTAAGGTGTGATTCTTAAAGAGGGCTGCCATTCTTCGTCGTAACATCGGAAAAATTCATTTCCGAATGTCCAGCACAGCAAGTTCTGTTGAATACGTCATAGTCATTCAAATCTTCATATATGTGTATTTTATCATAGAAACAATAAAAAGATTTGCAACATTCATAAGAAAAGTTGCATTCATATGGACCTGTTTCTTTTGTATACTTTTAAGGCAAAATTCGAAAAATAAATTTCCCGATGCTCTCATAAGAAATGTTGGCATTCATCACAAATTCACCAAACGTAAATCCTCGATTTGACATATGTGCTACTCTTCGAGATTATCAGAAATCTATATGAAAATCTGTAAAAGTATGCCAATTTTTGTGGAATTCTTATTCAGCTTGTTTTGCTCTATACGACAGCCGTACTAGGTTTCATATAATAGTAAGAAAACAAGCAATAGGACATAAGAGGATCTGATGAAGGACTTATAAGGAAGCGAAAATGTCATCAAATACAAACCCAAATCGAATTAAGAATTGAACTTCGATTTGACTGGTTTGATTTCGATGCACTCCTAGTATTCATTAACAGCAAGATGTTTTCATTGAAATATTTTGGTAACAAACAATGAGCTGACAAAATCTTTTCGCTGAGTATTCATTAGTTGTTTGGTATTGCATAACCGTACATAGCAGTATCTTGTGATAAATGCTGCGATGCATACATCCCTAGCCAAGAGTTATTGAAAAGATCTTCCATCTTCATTGTTGGATATGCAAGTCTCATAATAGAGAATGACTTTTGGGAATCAACTATTAACGTAGTCCATAGAAGAAATTCACGGACGGCTTTTCCTCTTTCCATACTACTAAAACTTTGATCAGTTCCAGAAAATTCCCTAGCAAATCCTTGATAACCTTTCTTACTTTTCGGACTCATTTGAGTATTTGATGGTGAGAACTGACTAGGGAGAATATAAATAATTTCAAAGAAAAAGTAATCGAACAATTGTCAATATTATCTCAACAAGTTTTTATCGATCGTTGCTCAGTGTGACAATTATGATCATCGAAAACGTGTTGGCTCGAAGATAATTGTTATTTGACTGAAACATAACTAAATGCATTTAGTATTATTGGATTCGTTTCTATTTTATGAAAAAACATGTTCTTGATACTAGGATATAATACCAAGACTTTTATTGGGGGCATATATCTATCGACACGCAGCAACATTAACAGTCGATATAGACATACAACAACAGTACAATAAACATGCTGAGTAATGCCATTGTATTGTTTGTTGATTATTCTATATTTATTCTTTTTCTTTTGAAGTCAATTTGATAAATCTGTTGCATCGATCATTGATCTATGCTATCATGATGATGATCAATTCGCTCTGGATCTTCTTTCAAAGTCTCCCGATGTTACACCTAATTGTACCACATTAGAATTAGCTCAAAAGGCAAGATGTCAATCATTTCTTGCATCAAGATGTGTCCAAAGATATCTTGATAATTCATGGTGATATTTTTCTAAAATTCTTTAAACAAACTTTTGAAAGATTGACTTTCTAGGTATGGGTATATAAACTACAAACGATGGGATATTAATTTACAAGTAAATAATGAAAACTAGAAACAAAGCATAATACAAATTTTTCTTTTCAGATATTTATTTATTCATTATTAATTCCATTGACTCCAATACTTTGTGCTCGTTTGGATTATGTAGAAAAATCTGAAAGTGGTACTGATGAAGTAGACATTACTCAATACCGTGTGATGCAAAATACTCCAAAGTAAGACAAATAATGATTAATCTATTAGCCTCTTTATTCGAGTTCTATCAGATCGATTCCTTATCGACGAAAACACGTAGTCACGTGGTGGTATAAAATAAAACATTTCTATCAGGCACCTATTGTACGATTTTATTATAATGTGGTAAAGAACAATTCTAGTATTTGAGTATGCTCACATTTGTATATTTTTGTTTTATTGTTTTCTTTCAGATATTCTTCATCGTATTTTTGGGTCTTTTCAGCTTCGTTCTTCTCGTTGATTATTTTCCATTAAATAACTATGATGAAAGTCGATCAGGCATTAAATATTTGCAAATACCAATAACTGAGATTATTCTTCATGTCTGCATATGGAGTTTAATTCTTGAAGAGTTTCACCAATTGAAAATAGTTTCTAAGCCCGTGATAGTTAACAAAGAAATGCCTTTCAAGGTGAGTGTGAAGTCGATTCTAGTTTTGATATTCTATCATTTCTGACATTACTCACTCTGTTCCAAGATTTGTGCGAATTTTGCCTTTGACTAAATTCAGAATAATATTGTATCAATTGTCAAGAATAAAAAACATGAAAAATAATATTTCTATATGATAAAAGCAACACAAAGAAAGAAAGAAAGAAAGAAAGAATTTTTGACTCATAGAATGTTGATTCATCTAAATTAAATTAATAAAAATTCTTTATTGTCTCTGATGATGATCAAGGGCGAAAAAACAAGGCTCATTATATTTTAGCATACTAGCTGGACTCCTGAACCGTGGTAAAGGTTTTCCTACATCCTTCTGAGCTGTCTCAACACTTCTACTACTCAGTATTTCTATTTTGTGATTGAAGTCCAGCTTGTATAAATAAACACACGGCTCGGGAGTCCAGAGAAGGGAATATACTTAAGTTAATCTAGTCTCACTTTTCCTCTGCATGATGATACATGTATTTTATTGAAAACTCAAATAATCAAATAAAGTATGTTTTGTTAAAAATGTTATTGTTGACAATATTATACTGTATATTTTCGATAAGAATTCTCTTTCTTTTTAAAGTCTTTGTTCAATCATTTGAAAAGAGAATATCTACTTGATATATGGAATAATATTGATATTGCTGCAATTGTCTTTTATCTTATTGGTTTTATTACACGATTTATCGTTGTGGAAGGAGTATTTATTACATCAAAGAAAGTTGCTTTTTTTAAAATAATATATTTTCTTATAAATTATCATATACGTTTATTTTCAGAATATTCATGTGTTTTGATTTGATATTTTGGTTTGTTCGCATACTACATTTATTTACAGCTTTTCGAAAACTAGGACCAAAATTAATTATGATTTTTCAAACGGTTAGTCATTGATATTCGCTTCTAATATATTTAATAGTTTTATTTTCATTTTATTCATAGATGAAAGATTTAATCTTTTTCATTTGTTTTATTCTGATATTTTTATTCGCATTTTCAATAGCATCTTGGGCATTGATTACTACAAATAGTCAAGTTTATTGGCATTATAGTAGTGATGGATCTCTATCGAATGTAACAGTGTCAAAAAATGGTAGTGGATTGTGGACATGGCGCATAATACGCAATGTAACAAATTATGGCGTCTGGAAAATTTTTGGACAAGTAGAGCCTATTGGTAAAGTTAAGTCTAATTGCATTATTCGAAGATAGTATACTTTCTTTTGATTTTCTAGATGATTTAGATGCATACTCGAGTACAGCATTTGTGTTAGATATAATGTTTGTTACTATTGCTAATATCATTCTCCTTAGTGTTCTTGTTGCCTTATTCAAGTATTTTCAAAACAAAAGAACATCATAAAAAGAAGTATACATTATTATGTTTTATGTTTAATTTCAGTGTGACAATTACGCGTGTTGAAGAACAATCTAAACAAGTATGGGGTTATCATCGGTTTCTACTTGTAAATGAATATAAATCTAAAGTTTCACTGCCACCACCATTTAGTATATTAAATTATCTATTTCTTAGTGGCCAATGGCTAGCGAAAAAACTACTACGATGCTCAAGATATTCATTGAGTAAATGAAAAAGAATTGATTTGCAAACAATCACTTTCTTTTGATGAATTTCATAGACGACAAAAAGGCTGAAGAATTTACGGATAAAATTCAAGATAAAAGAAAAATACATAGTGACTATTGGTGGCATAAATTAAGGCATGAAAAAACCGTTCAAATTGAAGCCTCATTAAAAGAAATTGAGCCATAGTAAGATTTATATCTCGTTTCGATTTTCAATTCATTTATATTTGCTTTTTAAAGACTACGTGATTTGTGGGAATGAATGTACAGTAAAGAATCAAGTATTACTAGACGACGTTTTTGTATATTTTCTTGATTTATTTTTTAGAATTGTAGTCATTGATCGACAATGGCTTTCATCTGACATTTTATTCTAAAGAAAATTTTTTTTTTCGTGCAATCAATCAACAATAAAATTCGTCAATATGTAATCCAGGTCTTTAGATTTTGTGAGAGTGTGGGTGTGGGTGTGGGTGTGGGTGTGGGTGTGGGGTGTGGGTGTGGGGTGTAGGCGTGGGGTGTGGGTGGGTGTGAGTGTGGGTGTGGGTGGGCGTGGGTGTGGGTGTGGGGTGTGGGGTGTGGATGGGTGTGAGTGTGGGTGTGGGTGGGTGTGAGTGTGGGTGTTAGTCTTCTCTTTATCAACACCCACACCCACACCCAAACACCCACACCCACACACCCACCCACACCCACACCCCACACATCCACACCCACACCCCACACATCCACCCCACACATCCACACCCACACCCCACACATCCACACCCACACCCCACACATCCACACCCACACCCCACACATCCACACCCACACCCCACACATCCACACCCACCCTTGAAGTTGGGTTTTTATGATTGAAAGATGCGCTGGAGTCTCCTCTTTCAGAATATATACAGCTTTTCGAAAAACCATTAGATTTTCACGGACTTATCGAAGGAAACTTCGATTCAACCATCATGCCTTGTTGAGAAATTTCCAGGATTTTTCAAGGGAGACCCTCTCTCATGGTGGATTTCTCACTTAGAACGGACCATTTTGACTGAAATTTTCAGGAATAAATAGTCCTAGTGAGAAACGCTTGCGGGAAAAATTTCAACCTGATATGCGCTCCTAAACCGATCTTTCGGCTTTTTTTTCATTAATAAATATAAACTACGCGTCAGATGACTATTGTCTCAAGAAACAATGCTTATCAGTCACTGTAATAGTGCCGCTAACGAGAAGACCCTTGTGACACCATGTGATAGGCTCTCCCACAACGAGAAAGATAGAAGTAAAATCCAAGCGTATATAAGCACAGATCACTGGCTGCAACTAATAACACAATGCATTCAACTGTTCTCTTGAGTGTTCTCTTGTTCATGGCGGCTAGTGTGGCTCTAGGCATGAACGTGCAACACGTAAAAGCCCCACCCAGTAAATGCTTCAATCTAGAGCCAATCCTGGGCCAAATGGCCGTCGACATCGAAGGGTTGGTTGCACAAGTCACCGATCAACTCTCCGCCCTCAACGGACTTCGCGATCTAATTTCAAAAATCAAGGAACAGGCCCATATTGATCTCGAGCCGGAGAAAGGCAAGTAACTCCCAATGTGCGCTCATGTGCAGTTAGGCGTGGCACACTTTCCATTACATTTACTCCCGTAAAATTCTTAAGAAACGTTCCACGTAGACATCACAGATTTTCCATATATCAAAAAACCCGCTAAATTTCAGATTTTGAATTCAATCATGCTTGTAGATAGCCCACCTCATACTATACTTGAATCCAAATATTACGAGCTGAAAGCTTGTTATTGACTGTCCATAGCTGGTTTACTGGATGAATCCTCGTTGACACGTCTAAATATGAGCTTTTTGGGTCATCATTGTATTTCGATTAGGGGTGCACCAGTGCCAGTAACTGGGTACCAGTCGGACTGGGACCCAGTTCACCAGTCAGGACTGGGGACTGGTGCATCCCTAATTTCGATCATTTCTTTGCTATTTCATAATTGCTAAAAATGGGCCGCATAGTGATCGTTAGAGTTTGCTTTTCTTTACCAAACTGTATATATGGCTTTTCTCTTAGATCTCAACGTGCTTTGAAAAAGTCAAAATACTGTGTTTGTGGCATAGAGCTGTATTCATGACTTTGCCGGTATTTTTATCAAATATCTAAGTCACTTATAGACGTCCAAAAAATCAATTGAATAAAAATGTAGTTCATTCAATTCTGCGTCGATGTGTTTATAGGATTTTCTCTAAAAACACTTTCAGGCTAAGATAGTCAGGACCACAAGTTGAGCTCTGTTATCATAGTCTTCCATAAACTAGGTGCACATATAATCTGTCTTTGCAGTTGAAACCCACTGAAAAATGTAATCTAATATCATTAGAATCTTTTTAAGGGTATTATAGGTAGCTTTACTGGCAGGGACAGCGCGAGCAGGTGGGTTGTGGGAGGATATCCTCCCTGCTTTGCAAATTTTGGCTCAGATTTTCTCCTAATTTAGAGAAATTACTAAACAGTTTCCTCCGATCTTGGAAAAATATAGAGTGGATTCAGAAAACACATCATTCACCCAGAGAATGAGGGCTGAGGACAGAGGTGCAGAATCTGCCGCTAAAATGGAAAATTTCCCTCGCTAAAATACTCAATTAAAGATTCTTTGAAAAATTGTAACATTTTTTTATGATAAGAAAAAATACTGGATGCCCCATGATAAATGTCCTAATTTTATATTCAATCTTTGAAACATTAAAAAATTATTTTAAATTTTGATTTTATGCCAGTAAATCGATAAATTAATTTTCTAAAAACTTATCAAATTTGGTTTTCGAATAGATTTTTCATGTTAGAACAAAGTTAAGAGATTAATATCTTCTCTACCGTACAAGTGCGAAAATAAAAATCGATAAATTTATAGACACTATTTAGAAACGGATCTCATGAAATTTGAAATATTCTACAATATGCTATACAGTTCTGCATCTCTCGATACGACTTTCAAAATGTTAGAAAAAAAATATTTGAGAGAAGAAATTTCGAAATAGAAAATGTGGAAATGCCGAAAATCGATCGGTTCAGGACAAAGCTAAGCTATTGTTTTCGATTGATCCAAAGTAGCCTAAATGTTTCAACTGTTTAAGAGAGTATTTCTATAAGGACCGAGGATTGCAGTGACACATAAAATTTTTGATTTTTGATTCTT